CCTGCCTGCTTGTCCAGTGTGTACGAACCTTGTCAGCACTTACAGAGGGAGCAGCGGAGCTTTGTTCAAACCTGTCAGCACTTACAGGGGGAACAGCAGAGCTTTGTTCAAGCCCTAGGAGGTGCTGTGTCCTGGTCGGGCTGGGCAGACGAGCACAGGCCGTATCAGAGATTTATGCGGGACTCACAGGAGCATGTCCCCTTTGAGAATTACAGTGGACTTTTTCCACTTACAAGTGATAAATCCCCAGTGCCCAGGTCTTCGTTTCTAAAACCTTTCTCTAATAAAGGAACCAGGGCTCCTTGGAGAAATGGTAGATTCTAGAACTGGGGCAGGAAACATACAGGATAAATCTGGAGGATCTTATAGTGTCAGAAATTCAGGAGATGCTTTACGCGTGCATGCACACACACGCGCGTGCACACACACAAATGGGATGGGTGTGCAGAGGCACATGGGCACCACCTGAAAGAGCTCCTGATGGCTAAAGCTGGAACAACTTGAGCAACAAAGTAAGTAAAGCAATATTGGATTACAACCCAAAGTATAAAGTAAATATCCAAGAGTCTAGACTGATAAAAACAAATGATTGAATAAATAAATGGGAGAGATGACAAATCTGTACAGAATTCCAGATAATTTATGTCGCTACTGCACCCTCACAGAGGGGAGCAAAGCCCCCACTCTTAAGTGAGGGCTACACCAGGGTCCTTCCAGAGAGTGGAGTGTGGAAGGGGGAGGGGTGACTTCATGGTGGGGAAACCTGCACGGCGGTGAGTCACACTGATGGGGTCACCTCTGGGGTCTCCCTCCCAAAACACTGTCGCCCCAGTCTAATCATGAGAAAAACATCACCCAAACCCAACCAAGGGACAGGCTATAAAACCCATGATCACTGCTCCTCAAAACAAGCTTCATCAAAACCAAGGAAAGCTTGAGAAACTGTCACAGCCAGGAGGAGGGGAAGGGGACATGGTGACTAAATGAAACATGTCCTGCATGGGATCCTGGGACAAGGAAAGGACATTTGTAAAACTAAGGGAACCCGAATAAAGCACTGACTGAGGATATGTAAAGACTGGTGAGAAATCTGAAGCGGGTGGGGGCAGGGCCCCACAACCCCTGTGTTTGGACTTTAATCCTTGTTTTCCTGTTACGTAAAGTGCACATAACACATACCTGCTTCATGGGATTTAAATAACATGAGAGTGCCATGTCCTCAGTGAATGTCAGTTTCTCTCCTCTGAGAACCATCTTTTTTGAAATTTAAGTATAGTTGGTAGACAGTATTAGCTTCAGGTACACAATATAGTGATTTGACATGTATATACCTTACAGTTACAGGGTGTCCCCGCACTAAGTCTAGTCTGTCACCATGTAGTTAGCACACTATTGTCAACTCTAATCCCCTTCACCTTTTTCACCCATCCTCCTAACTCCCTCTCTTCTGCAAGGATCAGTTTGATCTGTTTCTATGAGTCTGTTTCTGTTTTGTCTTTTTTCAGATTCCACATATGAGATCACACAGTATTTGTCTTTCTCAGTCTGACTTAGCATAATACCCTCTGGGTCCATCCATGTTGTCACAAATAGTAAGATTCCATCCTTTTTTATGGCTGAGTAATACTCCATTCTCTCTGCCTCCCTCTCTCTCTCTCTCTCTCTCCATATATATATATCTATATATATATCTATATCTATATATCATTTCTTTATCCATTTCTCTGTGGATGAACACTTAGGTTGTGTCCACATCTTGGCTATTATAAATAATGCTGCAATGAACACGGGAGTGCATATATCTTTTTAAATTAGTGTTTTGGATTTCTTCAGATAAATACCCAGAAGTGGGATTGCTGGGTCGTATGGTAGATCTATTTTTAGTGTTTTGAGGAATTTCTGTACTGTTTGTCTTCCATAGTGGCTGTACCATCTTTGGTCTTTCTTTCTTCCTGTTAGAGCTTGGGTTCAAGGCTTCCATTCCATTCATTCACTCAAAATATTTTTAGTGCTTACTGTCACTGAGCACGGTACTAGACCGTGGAGATGGGGTATGCAAGGCATAGACCTGTCTAGAGGGGCATGCAGACCTAAATGGGGTGTCCACCATGGAGGGAAAGCTCCCGGCAGAGACCCTGTGACTTGGATCCGCAGTGGGGACTTACAGTTTAGCACAAAGACCTACAGACGGTGAAGAGAGAAGGGCCAGGTGAAGGGCTGCTGGCACAGTCAAGGACATGGAAGACGGTTTGGTTGGAGGTGGAGAGGCCAGTGTGAGGCTGAAGAGGGGGCAGGGACAGCACGTGGAGGAAGTGACAGTGTCTGAGACAGCGAGCCGCAGAGCCAGACGACCCAGGTTCAGATCTTAGCCTCGCCTCCTACTTGGTGTGTAAACTTGGTCAAGTGCATTCATATTTCTAAAACTGCCCCCTCCCCCTTCATGGTCTGTGACACGTAGTAAGTACTCAGTATGTGAGGAATTGGGACTTCATCCAAACGGCATTGGGAGATGCTGCAGAATGTTACGCAGAAACCTGACATGACCAGATCTTTGTGTTGTGCACAGTGTGTAGAAGTGGCCCATTGTGAGCAAAACTGGGAACAGGCAGAACAGTCAGGAAGTTGTGTGATCTAAGTGACACCACGGTGACCTGCACCGCGTGGTGGCATGGACATGGCAAGTAGAGATGACAGGGACATGGCCGAGAGAAACAGCAGAGCTTGGAGGTGGATTAGCTGGGACAGATGAAAACTGGAAATGACTTGGGCTGCCAGGGTTGGGGGGAGTGACACCCTGTGTTGGTTGTGGGGAGAAATGTCTGGGACATGTCATGTTGGGGATACCTTTCCTCTTACTAACACCACTCAGGTTTCTTTCTGTCACATTCGTTATCTGATGTGTAATTTGGGTATGATAAAACCTACCCGGTTAAGGTGGGCACACTGAAAACAATGTACATAAAATGCCATGCACAGTGCCTGTGGTACAGTTAATGGTACAGGTCGTACAGAATATGTTTAGTATTATCACGTGTGCACTTCATAAAATTATCAGGACTAGAAAATGTTAGTAATTACTAGCGTTCCCTTTTCTGTTTTATTTTTTAAATGATCTCCTAATGATACTTTGGTTGTCTTGGTTAACCTGCCTGGTTTTCAGCTTCTAGACTAGAACTAAATCCTTGGCCGTGTATCACTCGGAAGTTGCCATTTTCCTGTGCTGCTCCTGACCTTTCTCTTTGACCTTCCTTCCAGCCAAGTAAATGGGTTTTCTCTTCCCTCCACTTCATTTACTGGCTTTCTCACATGCTCATCTAGTGTCACCCTCAGCCTTCTTGGTCCCTCTTCTCAAAAATTGTCCTTCTTCCTGTAGCTACTCCGCCTTACCCTGCTCAGTTACAGACGTTTGTTCAAGTTGTTCATCACGTCAGATGGTTGTGTGTATGTTGGAGGTGTGTGTGTTTGTGTATGTTTGTATACTTCCCAACAGGGTCCTCGTCCTGCTGGCACTACAGTGACCTTTGATAAATGTTGATGACATGTTAATAATGAAATAAAGGGAGTTATTTATACTGTATTTTGTCCTCAGTGAAACCTTGGGAAATTGAAGTGTGCTGTGAACCATGCTGATCATTTCTTTACTACCTTGTTCTTGGGTCGTACCATCAGGGGTAGATGGTCCACGTTTACATCGGAAGAATTCTTCTCCTTTTTTGCAGAAACTAACTCTGAAGCAAGCCTTTGCTGCTGTGCTGCAGTGGTGTTTCCATCCCAATTTCAGTGTTCGACTGTATGCGCTCGTAGCGCTCAAGAAAATCTGGAGCGTGTGTAAAACGGGGCATATTGAAGAATTTGGTGCTTTGACTTCTGTTGTTGAATCCAGTCTTAATCAAGTGGAAAACATGTATGTAATGGGGTAAGTAAACCTAGGACTGTCATTTTACTTCGTGTTTTACTTTTTTATTATTATCATTATCACTATCCAGGAATGCCAGGATTTTTATACATGTCAGAGACCCAGGCAGTATCGATGAACATAAAAGGCTTTCTTTAGAAGCTGAAAAGCACTTACTAATTTATAGAAATGGACAGAGGTTGGAAGCAGCATGTTAGGCATATGGAATAGTGTTTGGAAAATCAGTAACATATTGGGTCTTTGCCTTGACCACCAAGTTAGCACATGGTATAAATAACACGATTCATGAGTCATGACAGAGCTTCACGTGGTGACACAGCCAAGCTGCTTCCATGGTCACAAACTACTTTATAACCCACTACCTGCTTTACCTTTCGATAGGCATTAGGGTGATCTGTGAGTAAGGGAGGTTTCAGGAGAAAGATATTCAGTCCAGCAAATATAAAAACTAAGATAGAGTCCCATGAGATAGAATAGGGAAGAAAACAGGAGGGGTGAGCATTCGGTGGGGAGACAGGACAGGTTATAGACGAGGGACAAGGAGCCAGGAGGGGTGAGCCCCCCTGAACGGCGTGTGGCGTTCCGTGTGCTGGAAAACTGCCTCTAGCATGGTCCCTACAAGATCATTACAATTAGTAATTCTCCATAGTGTTGCCTAGAATTCCTAGCTTTCCAGGTATATTCTGGCAAGTAGATTCTTTATCTTTTTCAAATGATCTCAAATGTCTCCTTCCTTCTGGGGGTGTGGGTGTTTATACTCTTATCATTTCTTATATCTGGTGAACAGTTGTCTGAGTATTTACATGAGTAGATTTGGATATTAATATTTTTCATCATATTAGCATCTGTATTATTACATAGTAGGCCAAACTCAAACTGCAAAAAGTTGTCCCTAATCATACATTAATGTACAATTTAGTAAAATTATATGAATAATATTTTAATAGAACACACCCTGGGAACCCTGTGCTACCTGTGTTTGTCACTTAGAGATCAGTAACTGGGACACGTGTTACAGTTAATCCATGGACTCTCAGCCTTTCCTCAGTGTGAACTGACAGTTTTAACAATGCAGACAGGATTTGCGTGTCCGTTTTTAGTTTTCTCTAGGGTCAAATCATGACTTATTGTTTGGTGCAGAGGTGTTTCAGTTGGTTGATTCTGTTTAAAATTTTTGACAGCTGATTTCTAAAAACAATTGTCTCAGCTCATATATTTTTTTAAATTTTATTCAATTTATTGGGGTAACACTGGTTAATAAAATTATATAGGTTTCAGGTGTCCAGTTCTGTAACACAGTGTCTGTATATTGCATTGTGTGTTCACCACCCAAAGTCAGATCTCCTTTAGTCACCATATATTTGACATATTTTTTTGTTAATAAAACACCATTTTGAGCAATAACTTGTCCTTATTAAAATCCTGTATGAGGTAGGAGAGACAACCAATCAGAATAGGGAACCCTGGCAGTAAGCCATCTCCGCTCACTGAACACACACCTCGGCGTTGGCTTAGTGACAGACAGGCTGAGACGGGTCAGCGGCAGGCAGGCAGGTGATGCTTCTGTGTTCAAGGAGCTCACAGTCAGGTGGAGACAGACGTCAGATACATAAGCACACACATCAGAAAAAAAGGTTTAAATCATGGTAAGTCCTCTAATGGAAAAGTCAAGGTTGTGGTGAGAAAATACAGACTGTTTCGTCTGAGTGGTTCAGTTTAAGTTACAATCTACAGCATGAGTAGGAAGCAGGCAAATGCAGAATGGAAGAAAGGACTTCTGGATGGAAGACGGGAAGGCCTGGAGCTGGAATGTGCAGATGTGCTCCCAGCACTGGGGGCAGGCGGTGGGCTGAGTGGTGACCCAGCCATGAGCGAGCCGTGACTGAGCTGTGCCCGAGCGAGGAGCAGAGGGGAGACTGCGGAGGCCGGACCGGTGGGCTTCATGGATGATTGGGAAGCCAGTGAGGAGTTGAAATTCCAGAATGCCATCATCCTGTTTGCTTTTGTGCTTTTAAAAGTGTGAGGAGCAGATCAGAGACGGGCGAGAGCACAGCTGTGAGTTAGATTGGCATGAGGTTAGGCAAGTAAGAGCATGAAGACACCGCTGGACTTAGCAAGAGCAATTTCAGTGGTGAGGTTGGTGGGTGGAACCAAATTAGAATGGGTCAGAGTGGATGGGACAATAGACGGACATTTGTTAAATCTGGATAGGTTCGTAGGGGTCTGTTATTTTCTTTACTTGAATATTTGAAATACTTCATGTTTTTAATTTTTAAAAAATGGGTGATGAGGAAGGTAAAATATAGCCAAATCGTGCAGATAATTCTCCACAAACTTCTGGGTTTGTAGTGGAAAGAACAGTGGATGTGCTGTCAGAGGACTTCTGTTTTATTTTTGGTGACATTAGTTGTTTTTCAGTGGGTATCTGTGATTAGGAAATTGAACAGTGCAGGAAGTTATCATGCGAACAAGACAGCCTCCTGGCCCCACCCTTCCTCTCTTCCCCACCAAAGCTGCTCCTCCCCGAAATGGGGTTTTCTTTTAACAGCTGTTCCATGGTAGCTGTGCCTTAAGTTACTTCCTGAGTCCCCTTGAATGGACGTTTTAGTAAAGTTTTTGTGTTGCTTTTTAAGATTGGACATCAAGCCCTTTTGAGTGGGCTGGAGGAAAGGCTAGACTAGAGAAGACGGAGATTCAGGAGGAGGGCCACGGAGCAGAAGCCACGGGATGGGTGTAGAGCACACACTCCGGTGCTGTCCTTTGGAGAGGGGCTGCTGGAAGTGAAGGGGAGAGCGCAGGTGCGTGGGGAAGTGGCAGGGGAGGAGAGCTCTCATCGAGGCTGTCTGTGAGAAGACCTCTGTGAGACGCGAGGCATGGCCGTCACCGATGAGCAGTGAGGAGAAGGGCTGGGAACTTAGGGAGTGAAGACACACTGGCCACAGCACGTGACCTTGCCAGGGCAAAGTCTTGAAATTGCTTACTCAGCTTTTGGCTGCTTCTTGATCATGAATTTAAACTGAAACCTGCCAGGCATGTTGTAATTTTTATCCCTACCTCTTTTACCTTTTAAAACTTGACAGACGTGTTAAGAATTTAAAACCTACTCACATTACATTTGCTTGGTTTATCAAAGTTTACAACAGTTGGGCAGTGTTGTGAATCTTCAGAGTAGAAAACGTGACGTACGTAATGGCTTTCTCTCCAGAAAAACACAATGTGTTTACTGCCGGATACTTCGGGATTCCAACCCAGGTTTCTTAGGTCGCCCTTTTTAGAATTCTTTTTTCCCCAAGCACTTTGAAGTAGTGTGTCTGGCGGGCTGTTCTGGCGTCTTCCCACTGCTGGCGGCTGTCATGTGGGCTGGAGCCTCTGCCCACCTGCTAGATCATACCCACACTGTGCAGACCTGGGTTCATTCTTATTGAATCACTGCTTGCTGTACGGCTCTCAGAGAGTTACTGAATTTATTTGTCTGTCTTTGAGTTTCATTTCAAAAGGTCAAATTTAGTGTAGTTTTAAAAGAATGTTGATATTGGCGCCGTTAGTGGGCCGGGCTGACACCCCCACTTTGCTGGACCTCAGGCTGCTTGGTCCGCTCCTGCTGTGGACCCTGACCTCTGAGGTGGCGTGCCACCTGCTCTTTCAGTCTCACATGGCAAACTTGCGAGTCCCAAGTATCTGAGGATGAGCAGAGACAAAAAAAAAATAAGAAGAAAGAAAGAAAATATTTGTTCTTTAACTATGTCTGGCCATGTTGGTTTTGAGTGTTTGCTTGATCAACTGGTCAATAGATCCATTCAGCAAGCTTCTGTTTTCATATTCTGTGTTGGGAAGACTGGAATTGGAAAATCAACACTGATGGATACATTGTTTAATACTAATTTTGAAGACCATGAATCCTCACATTTTTATCAACATGTTAGATTTAACACTCAGACATATGAACTCCAAGAAAATAACGTTTGATTGAAAATGACCATTGTGAATACAGTGGGATTTGATGACCAAAGGAACAAAGACAAGAGCTACCAACCAATAGCTGACACTCAGTTGCAGGTCCAGCTCCAGGAGGCACTGGAGATGACGTTACATGTCCTCTAACTTCCACAGTTCTCATATCCACGCGTGCCTCCACTTGTTCTCACCACAGGCCACTCCCTGAAGACGCTTGATCTCGTGAGCATGAGGAGCCTTGCCAGCAAGGTGAACATTTTACTGGTAATTGCCAAAGCAGATGCAATTTCTAAAACTGAATTACAGAAATTGGAGATCAAGCTCTCAAGTGAATTGGTCAGCAATGGCGTCCAGATACCACCAGTTCCCAACAGCTGAGGAAACTATTGCTAAAATCAGTGCTTAAATGAATGGACACTTGCCATCTGCTGCTGTTGGAAGTATGGATGAGGTAAAAGTTGGAAATAAGACGGTCAGAGCTCGCCAGTACCCTTGGGGTGCTGGACAAGTGGAAAATGAAAACCACTGTGACTTTGTAAAGCTCCAGGAAATGCTCATCTGTACAAACATGGAGGATCTGTGAGAACAGATGCACACCAGGCACTATGAACTCCACAGGCGTTGCAAACGGGAGGAAATGTGCTTTGCTGATGTGGGCCAGAGAATAAGCCGCTCCGTTTTCAAGAGACCTATGAAGCCAAAAGACACATTTTATGGTGAATGTCAGAGGAAGGAGGAAGAAATGAAACAGATGTTTGTGCAGGGAGGAAAGGAGAAAGAAGCTGAAAGAGGGGCAGGCCACACTTGAGCACCTTAAAAGAGCTCACCAGGAAGAGAATGAAACTTGGAGAAAAGAGACTTTTGGAAGAAGAAATAATCTCTTTCTCTACAAAGAAAGCTACATCCGAGATACACCAGAATTAGACCTTTATGGCAACGGGCAGCAACCAGGACAAGGACTGCAACTGCAAGAACTCCAATTTTATGTAAAACAAAGGTTCCAGATAGAGAAGGTCATCACAGGCAAAAGTTATTTTAAGTGTAAGGTCAACACATAAGCCTGAGTGGATGACAGCACTTATATATTCATTGCTGTTAGAAATTTTCCAGTTGCTGGTGTGTGATGAATCCAGGCTGCTTCTCCTGCTGCCCACTTATTGTCACTTTGCAGGGCATTGTACCCAGAGCAGGGTCAGTGCCATTGAAAACACAGAACTCACTCATATTATGGCAATCTAATTGCATTTATATTCCAAGATAAAGCTTTCTTTGGTAGATACTAAACGTAAAATTTTGGGAATATGTTTTAAATTGTACTATGTACCTGAAACTGAATTTTTGATAGTATTATTCAGTTGGTAACATGATCCTAAGCTTTTGTATCAAATTTTATATAACATGGTGGCCTTCTTTACTATGCCTTATTTGTGGTTGCTATATTATTATTGAGGAAACAAAACATGTTTAAAAGTAAAAACATCCAGTTATATAAACCCTTAAATACCTTTGAACCTAGGTGTTACCACAGTATTTTCATTAAGCTATATTACATTCTTGTTGCTTAAAACTCTGTCTTCCAGGGGAAAAATAATAAGGTCGAATCATCTTATTAAAAATATTTTTAAGAAAATAACTGAACATGTAAATATTAAAGATAAAAATTTAGATAATTCATATCTCAAGGGATAGTTGAATTCAGTTCCTTAGTAGTAGTCTCAGAACAATTAACTTTTTCTTAACAATTATAGGTATATAATTTTTCATTTTTTGGACTTGATTATTCTAAGTAAAGCTGACATTTACTCTTGACTAATAAATTTACATATTTACTAAAAAAAGTATGTTGATCTTGGAGATATGGGTGTATAAATCTTAGGATACAATTCACAAAATTTTCCATTCATTCTAAATTCTGCAGTACCTCTGTAACATATCTAATTGATTTTTCCCCTTTACCGGAGCTGTTTCTGTCTGTACTTCATATCATATTTTTAATCCTTAGGAATGCCAAGAAGAATTGGCAACGTATCCAAGACCATTTCTTTTTTGCAACATTTCATCCACTTAAGGATTATTGTCTGGAGGTGAGCAGAGAATATCATTTGTGAATTCCCTACCATATCATTATTCCTGACTTCTTTCTGCCATGTCGTTGAAGGTTATGATTAGGTGAACTTTCCCCCTTGCTTGCAAACTTCACCTTAACACTGTAAAGTTCTAAGTTTAATTTTGTTACTTTATGCAGATGACTTGCTTGCATTTCACTCTTAAGCAGTGAAAACTGGCCAGTCATTTTCACTTTCTATTTCTCAGGCAGTGTCAGGCTTGTAAACACTGGAAAGGGGAATATTTAACTCTGAATAGAAATCTGTTCTGACATTAAAAGGCAATGAGTGAGAACATTTGTGCAGGTGAGATTTTGTTGTAATGAAGCTCATTCTTAACGAAAGAACAAAAAGATCTATTCTTTTGTTCATTGCATTTTCTAGGTTCTGGGTGACTAAAATTGCATAGCAATTTCACTGATTGTAACCGAATATGTATATATAATTTTAAGAACCATAAACATGTTTATTACAACTAGCATGTAAGTGAATTAACCTAATATGGCATTAAAATTTGTATAAATCATATTTTATCCCCTTTTAAACAATAATTATAATGTTCTGCCTTTGAATTAAAACATTTGATTAGTTCCTCTAAAGAATGTGGAAGTATCAGTAACTTTAGCTACTGTGCGTATGCAAGTTTTTGTTAGATTACTAAGAAGCTGACCTTTAAAAAATACAGATCTGTATGTTGTGAGATATTCATCATAGAACATTAATGTATACTTCCTGTTGCTTCATTGCAAAAATTGTTTAGGATTTTTCAAATATTTTAACATGCTCTGTTCTGTGTCCTTTAGTGCCCAGAATGCTTTGCTTGACATCTTTCTGAAGGACTCTTTTAGTAACCCTAGTGTTAAATCAACTTTTCTAATCAGTTTTCCAGCAGGAGTAAGTCCCTTGCTTTCCTCTTTCCCTCAGTCCCGTCTTACTGAGTGAAAGTGCCTCACTCTCATGTTTTATATATTTTATTCGACATTAATGACATGAATCATAATTATGTGTAAATAATGGTGTAAAGAATCCTATCTGTATCTATATTAGTGCCTACGTAATAAACATCTGTTGCCATCATTTTGCCAGCGTCAATTACACAGATATTGCATGAGGAAAACCATCTTCATTCTAAAGGCTTTTATGACAGTTTGCATGTTTTTGTTTCATTTTTAAATTGCCTGTTACTCATGCTTCTGCTTCTTATGTGCCTTTTCTCCTTTGGCGATTTTCTGGTTCTCCATTTTCATGGGTGAGAAAAGGAAAGGATTGTATATATAAGTAAATAGTTTACAGTGCTGTCACACTGCAGTTGACAAAACACTTTTATCTGCTCTTTGAACCTGATTTTATCCACATTTTACAAGCATGGAGGTTGAAGCCAAGAAAGCCTAAATGGCTTGTCTGACATCCCACAGCTAACACATGGTCAAGGCAAAATTCACATCCTGAATTTGTCTAGTGGTCGTGAAAGGGAGGATTTCACATCAAAAGAGCTTGAACTTGATTGCTTATGGAGAAGGCGGTGATCAACAGATTTTTCCAAATGCTGTCAAACACCAATACTGATTAATTTCAAACACTTTTGCTTTTATTAAGAGCATGGTGGTTTATTACATACTGTTAGGAATACCAGAGTGGAAAATCTGCCTGCTTTCAAGAATTTCCTAAATTAACCGCTGAATTTCTTAGAAAAGATGATAAATGTATATAGACAATTGCTACAAGATAGAAATGAAAGTGTGTAATTTAATCAGATAGGATAGTTTGGGAGAATATATTAGTTATAAGTTGTACTTTAAACATGTATTTATTTTTAAGGGAAAAAAATGTAGGTTTTACAATTTTCTTTTCAGACCATATTTTACATCCTGCCACGCCTCTCAGGCCTTGTTGAAGACGAGTGGATTGCCATTAGTAAATTCACCAGGTTCACTGACATCGCTTTAGACGCAGGATTTCAGTGGTACCTCTCTCCAACGCAGCTTCGTGAACTGACGCCCGGTGACTGGGCTCAGCAGGACATAGGTAAAAAGAATGTCTGTTTGATTTTTTTCCACTGTTGACTCGGTTAGGTTTATTAAGTTACTTAGAACAGGTAGTTGATATTACTTTTTTGTTGATGTGGTGAACTCTGCCCCCCACTTAAGAGAAGACAGTGAAAAAATGTGGTGTAACTTTGACTAGTATTTTGAGTTGAAAGCTTTGCTATAGAAAGCCAGAGAGAGCCTGACCTGTTTTATCAAAGAAAGCTAGTGGCTTCTCTTTTCTTTGCAATATTATTAATATTCATTGCTTTTCTATTACATACTTCTGTACAAATACAGATTTTAAAAAGGACCAAATTATGAAATTTCTTGTCCCGTTTAGGGAGAAAGCAGCTCTTGATTCTCGTCCCTCCTCAGTCTGGCTGGACATCACTTCATCTTTCCCCGGCTTCCTTCAGGACCCACGTATCCCTCCGCTGCTCTCCTCCTCCTCCCCCCTTCACAGCCAAGCTGCCCTAAAAATCCAGGGATTAAACCCCCACCCAGTTTTAAAATCACAACTACTCTTCTTAGTTGTGTAGTAGCCTACATTCCCGCCATGTCACAATGTGTTCTCGTTCTGACTCTCCCTAACCCATGTCCATTGTTGAACCTTCTGTTAGCTAATCAGAAATTTTGTCTTTCCGTACAAAACCTGAGTAGACCTGATTTTTATGTAGTATTTCCCAGCTTGATACTATCCTGATTTTCCTCCTTAATCTGACTCTTCTCACTCTCCTTTATGAGTTCCTCCTCTTGTCCCTTATATTTGTAGTTCTCTGAAATTGTAATGTTTTCCAGAAGCCCTTGGACAAATTGTTAGAAGTACAGGTTCTTGGGTCCCACCCTTAGATTTTAATTCAGCATGTTTGGAGGAGAGTTCTGGGGAAGCTCATTCTTTATCACCTACTTTTGGTTAAGATACTAATGCATCTTAAGACATGTCACCCTAATTTATTATTTAACAAAGGTTTATTGATTGCTTCCTATGTGCTAGACACAGACCAAGGCCCTGCCCTCCTGGAGCTTACATTCTTACAGGGGAGACAACCCCAAACAAATATGTAAGATGATGTTAGGTAGTAAGTAAAAAGTGCTGCCAAAAAAGTAATAAATAAAGCAGGACAAAGACACTAACAATGAGCTGACATTGAGCGGGACCTAAGTGGAGTGAAAGCAAGTCCAGCAAAGACCTGGGGAGAGGTTTCCCCAAACAGAGAAAAGCAAACGTGAAGGCTGGGAGGCGAGACACAGTGACGAGCTGTTTCATCAGTGTGGTGGGGACAGCCTGACTGGGGTGGCCGAGCAGGGGCTGGCAGGCAGAGGGACAGCACGTGGACAGCTGGTCTGAGTTCTGCCTTGGGGTGGAGCAGACACGAGGTTAGCTGGATGGGAACGGCTAAAGAGCTAGCTTTTTGTTCGGTTTGTTTGGTTGGTTTGCTTTTGGGAGAGGGACTTCGCAGTACAGTTTCTATGCCGAGACTTAATGTTAGTGTCTCTGCAGTGTTTTCATGGCCTGGTTTTCTTCTCACCCCACATGCTCTCCCCAAGCACTTTTATTAATTTCTACAACTTGAAGCCACCACAGAGATAACTGACTTTCAGTTCTTTGTCTCTGCCCGGCCTCTTTCCCGAGCATACTGGACATTCCATAAGCTCTTTAAACTCAACATACCCGAGTTGAATTTACCTTTCGGCCACACCTGCCCCTCTCTGTAACTTGGTTAGTGGTGTCTCTGTCACATACATGTCACCCAGTCTTGGTGGTTCCGCTTCCTTCCTCCGCGGCTCCGCCTGCAGTGACTTCATTTGAACCATCTTTGTCTTTGCCTGGACTCGTGCAAAAGCCTCTTAATGGTTTTCCAGCCCCAACTTTCCCTCTACATTTCTTTCAAGAGGGATTTTTCTAAAACACAAAACCAGTTCTGTTACCCTCCTTCGTAAAGCTCTTTAGTGGCTCCTATCTGTAGAGTTATCAACCTATACAAAGTCCTTGTGATCTGGTCAGAGCCACCTCCCTCCATCCATTGCGTGCTGAGCTACACCAGCACACTGCTGCCGAGTCATCCCTTCCACGTCTGTGCACTCATGGGGTACCTAGTCTGCCCCGCCCCCCAATTGTCTGTGCACGCGTGGTACCTAGTCTGCCCCGCCCTCCACTCTTCTGTGCACATGCAGTACTTACAGTGTGCTGGACCCCCAACTCTGCCTTGCAAACCATCGCTTCCCTTCTCAAGCCTTCCCGGGTCTTCCTCTTTGCCCCACCCCCCTGACATTAATAACTCTTTTCTGGGTAAGTGTGCCCTCACTAGTCCTGTGGTATAGTTACTAGCATCCCTCTTCCATCCCCAGTAAGCTAAGTGCTTCTGGCTGCTCGGTCAGCAGGCTGGAGTGGGGTGGCTGAGGAAGAGCATGGAGGGTGGTCTCCGTCCTGTACTGCGGTCAGGCAGGCTAGTAACATCGTGTCCTCATCAACTGGGGGAGAGAATAGCCTTCAGTTTAGAACGTTACCCCAAATATTTGTAAGGTAATTTAAGGTAAAGACTAGTGCTTTCGGGAATATATTTCTACAGAAAATTTTAATCTAATACACTGTTGTTTAAGATACACCATTATTTTATATACCTCTAAAAAAATGCTAGCAAACTATGACATCCTATGGATTCTAAGATGTTTCCCAAGTTTGGGTATGCTAAAATGTAAAAAAGTATGTCTTTTATCTTCATGCAATGTTGTAGTATATTGCTTTATAGAATTGAATCTGAACACTTAAAATTACTATTGAAAATGGTAGTTGTGTCTGAATCTAAGTTCTTTAATGAATTTCATTCTAAACTCTTCACATACACGTGTGCACACATGTGCACGCACGCGCGCGCACGCACACACACGCACACACACAGTATGTGAGAGAGAGAGAGGGGGAGTGGGATTGGTTTATATGTGGGATTATTTTCCTTCCCAGGTTCTAACTCAGGCGAAGTGGATAACCAACCCGAGTGGACTGATGTTCAGAAGAAGATCACCCCATGGAAAAGCAGTGTTCCTGATTTAGACCTGGAGCTAGTGTTTCCAGATCGTGCTGCCAAGCTTGGGAAGTCCATGAGCAGACTGATTGTGGTGGCCTCCCTCATTGATAAACCAACCAATTTAGGAGGTAAAACAGTAGTATTCCATGGGCTTGCTTAAAATCTTTGATCCTGGAATTTTTAATCAGCCCACAGCCATTTTCGGCTCTCTGTTCTCCGTGTACCCTCTCAGGGAGCTTCAGGGGGGTGTGAGGGACATAGTGTGCTTAGCCTTCGATGAGACAGTGACATGGGCTTGTTCTGGGCAGGACTGTGCCGCACCTGTGAGGTGTTCGGGGCCTCGGCCCTCGTGGTCGCCAGTCTCCAGTACGTCAACGACAGGCAGTTCCAGCACCTCAGTGTCTCGGCTGAACAGTGGCTTCCTTTAGTGGAGGTGGGTGGAAAGTAATTTATTCACGTTTTATTTGCTAAATCTGCATGTAGTACTCTATTTCCATGTGTCAGTCCTCTGCAGTAATTTATAGGAGTCCAGCCTTTAATAGTTTAAAAATAATACTTCAAGTAAAATACAGCCCCGTCTTTTCTCCTATTCCTCTGTTTCACATGGTTGTATTTTTAGAAATTATCAGTAATGTAGAATTCTTTTCTGTAAAAAGTGTGCTGCAACTCACTATTGATGTGGGAGTAATTTTTATAAATTTCTATGATCTTGGGAGTTCTTGTTTATAGTATATAATGTTGTCCTTTTAAAAGACTTTTAAACAAGCTTAGTTTAATAAAAATGTTCTTTTTAAACTCTGATTTTACTCCAGGTAGGGCTGTAACTGATTTAACATTCTGCTTTTAAAACTAATATTAGGTAAAACCACCTCAGCTGACTGATTATCTGCAGCAGAAAAAATCAGAAGGCTACACCATCATTGGTGTGGAACAAACTGCCAAAAGTGTAGACCTCACCCAGTACTGCTTTCCTGAGAAATCTCTCCTCTTGTTGGGGTAAGAAATTCTCCTGAGGATAGTATATAGTCTAAGTCTCGAAAATATTTCAGAAATTTTACAGTTTACCTAGACTTCTATTATTTCACTTAATATTATACTGGCACTTAATATTATACCTTTGACTTGTAATGTTTGTGGATAGCCTCCCTAGTTTTCCTTTTATTTTACCTGTTTGGGGGGGTCAGGTGAACACAGAATTGACCCTTGAATCTTTTTGTTACTCTTATTTTCCTGGTAACTTAGACTTACTTCATTTTGTTAATCTGTTTCTAACAGAATACCTGAGAAAAAAAATTGCTTATTACAAGAAAACTAACCCTCCTTCTGTTTTTCATCAGAAATGAACGTGAAGGAATTCCAGCAAATCTGATCCAGCAGCTGGATGTTTGTGTGGAAATCCCTCAGCAGGGCATCATCCGCTCGCTTAACGTCCACGTGAGTGGAGCCCTGCTGATCTGGGAATACACCAGACAGCAGCTGCTGTGCCATGGGGACCCGTCACCAAGTCCGTGCCTTTTCTGAGACAAGTTACTAGTTTGGACAAATGAAACAGATTCTGAACTTACTGTAATAATTTGTAATTTTTTCTTGCAGTTTAATGCCAAAACTTTTTCATGTGCCTTAAATATACTATATTTTTGTCCCCTTTAATAAACATTTTTAGCTAAATTGTACCACGTTCTTAGTAAAATATTTTAAGCAATTGTGGAAATCAAACAATGTATTTTTAAAAGATCATTTCTTTCCCAGAAACTAATATTGTCAGAAATGGGGTCTATGATGGGAGTAAGGCAGAATTACAGCTGCTCTGATCTGAGTACTTCACCTTATGTCATAAGGGGGCAAGGAGTACCTCACCTTACGTCATAAGGGGGCGTGGAGTACCTCACCATACGTCATAAAGGGGCGTAGGGTTTGGAAGCAGAGGTTCTGTGTGAGGCGCAGTGGGCCTCTTCTGCTTTGTAGCTACTTATTCCCAGGGAGGAAATGTGCTCTATAAAAGTCATAATGCTTAGGTCATAAGCTTTAGTTTATTTTTAAACAAATTATAGGCCCTAATCATATGTATGTTTTTAAGGAAAATGTTCCTATGACACCTTTGCTCAGAGTTCAAATAGTGGTTAGAAATAGTTTATTTTCTGACAGCTGTCAACATGGGCCCAAAGGAGAACTACTCTTGCGTGTCCCGGGGCACATGAAGGCTGCCTCACGCTTCTGTTCTTTGTCTGATATTGGGATTACTTCATTATTTAATGGTAACTATTAATCACTATCCAGATATGAACTTCAATTATGTCTGGGTCCTTTTTAATATTTAAATTTTGGAGCCTGTTACCTGTATGTTTTCCCTTCTGTAGTTTTATTGAAATAATTTTTGTTTTGCTGAGGAGTTGCAAGGATAGTCCAGATGCCTCTAAAAGGGTCTTACAGAACCATGGACATTTATCAAAGCTAAGAGGTTAACACTGATGATGGTGCTGTTCACTGGACTACAGATCTGCTCTATATTCAGATTTCCCGCTTTCCCACTAATATTGTTTCTGTTCCAGGAGCCAATCCTGGACCCTGCATTGCATTCAGTTATCACGTATCCTCCATGTTTTTCATGACCTTGGCACTTTGGAAGAGTACTGGTCAGGTATTTTGTTAGTCTCATAATCGGGGTTTGTCTGCTGTGTTTCCATGCTCAGACGGACGGGGCTTTTAAAGGATACTGGTGCTGAGGTGCCCTTCCCATCGCATCTCAGCATGACTTACCACCTCCACCACTTGTTCTCTGGCAAGTTGCTGTTTTTCCCTTTCCATGGTCCTTGTCAGCCTATTCTGCATACATGGGTAGGTAAAATAAGCTTTATCTTTTGAAGGGAGGAGTATGAAGAAATTTGGGGGCAGCTGTTGAAACTACCACAGCAGTTAACACTATTTTGGGAGCTGGTTGGAGGCTATGCTGATCCACGGTTTCTCCTCAGCAGCCTGCTCCCTGTAGCAGTCATTTCTGCAGTGCTCTAATGATGATATTCTGTATTTCTTCTACATTTTTTCCTTGGAATTCTTCTGTAAGGAAGAGCTGTCCTTTATTCAGTCATGTTTATGTCAGTGTGGATAGCTGGCTCTTGTGTCTTTTTGACACGCTCCCATTCTTTTTTCTTTTTAGCACTTTCTTACTTTCTGCCACTACACAATGCTCCAGGCTGTTCTTTTGTTTTCCCTGCCCCAGTTCTAGAATCCGACATTTCTCCAAGGAGCACTGGTTCCGTTTACTGGAGATTAATATTAGAAACCAAGATCTGGGTGCCGGATGTGCTCGTTGCTGCGGGAGTGGCACCAAAGGCCTCTCCACGAACAGCGGGGGCCTCTCGGTGTGCAAGCCCGTGTGTACAAAATGTAAGGTCTGCAGTTGTGTGAACGTGAATCCTTATTATAACTTTGACGCTACCCAACACAAGATTAATTCTAGTATTCACCTCTGCTTATTTTTAACTGCTTTTTCTGACATAAATATGGTTATTATTGTTTCAACAACTGCTAAACCATATCCCTGTGAAATTAGCAATTTGTACGGGTTTTTTTCTTTACCTTTACAGTATACAAAAATAATTTTCAAAATTATTTGGGCCAACCCCTTCTTTTCCTGCCACTTCCAGTGCGTTTGTCATATTTGTAATATGGTTAGACTCGTTTACCACAGCTGCATCCTACACTGGAATCCCTCCCAAATCCTGGTCCACTTATTTAACGTGCACGCAGTCGCTTGTTCTAGTGTACGGTGCTGTGGGTTCTGACAAGTGCAGACTCACGGAGCACACAAGAGTATGCTCCTCTTTCCCCATTCCCAAACACACCAGCCACCACTGATGTGTTTTACTAGTTTTGCCTTTTCCAGAATCGTATAAATGGAAGCATATAATACGTGGTCTTTTGGGTTTGGCTTCTTCCACGTAGCAAAGTTCTCTAGTGTTGTTGGGTGACTCAAGTTCATTTCCACTTATTGCTGAGTGGTATTCCAGTGTATGAACGTAGCACAGGTCGTTTAGGGAGTCCTCTGTTGCAGGCACCTGGGTTGTTTCCAGTTTGGGGCAATTATGAGCAACGTGGCTCTAAACATTCATGTACAGGTTTGGTTTTCAGTTAATTTGGTGAAATACTTAGGAGTGGGATTGCTGGGTCAGAACTAAGTATATATTTTAACTTTACAGGAAACTGAAGGGGGCTTTATAAAGCCTTTGGCGTTCCCAGCAGCAGGGAATGAGTTTGTTCTGCATCCTCAGCAGCATGTGATATTGTCAATTTTATTGAAGCCGTTCTAATAGGCGAGTAGTGATAGAGCATCATGCTTTTTGGCTGCATTCCTCTACTGATAATATGAAACATCTTTTCATATTAAATACTAGTTATTCATAACATTGAAGAGCTGTGTGAAAATATCTACTATTCACATAATTTGCCCATTTTTTAAACTTGGGTGATTTTTGTTTGTTTGTTTCTTAAGAGTTGTAAGAGTTCTTTATTTTGGATACAAGTTCTTTTTGAGGTATGTAATTTGCAAATACAGAGGGTGCTAAAAAAATGTATACACATTTTAAGAAAGGAAAAAACTGTATTAAAATTGTAATATATATATATATATATATATACACACACACACACACACACACACACACCGTTAACAAAAAATGAATACAAGTCATATGTATGCAGTTTTTGGCACCCCTGGTATTTTCTCCCTGTCTGTAATTTATCTTTTTATTCTCTTAGTATCATTCACAGAGCAAAATTTTAATTTTGATAAGGCCCAACTTATTTTTTATGAATTATGCTTCTGATGTTATTTAAAAATTCACATCTGCAAACCCCAAGTCATAGAGACTGTCTCCATATTTTCTTGTAGAAGTTTTATATTTAGGTCTATGATCCAATTTTTTAAGTAAGGTGTAAAGTAAATGTCAAGGTTCATTTTGTTGTGTATGGATGTCCAATTTTTCTGGCACTATTTGTTGAAAAGATTCTTCTTCCTCCCGTGAATGACTCTACACCTCTGTCTTATCTCAGTTGACTATTTGTGTGGGTATATTTCTGGACTCTGTTCTATTAAACTACGTGTCTCTCCTTTTGCCAGTACTGCTAGTACCATACTGTCTTGATTACTGTAGTTTCAAAATTTTTGAAATCACCTAATAAGTGTCCTCCAACTTCGTTCTTTTCAGAATCGTTTTGGCTTTGGTCCTTTGCTTTTCCATACACATTTTAGAGTCAGCTTGTTAATAGTTAATATCTACAAAAGTCTGTTGGGTTTGATTGGGACTGTATTAAACCCATAGAACAAATTGGAGAGAATTTAACAATATCTTATCTCTTCTAATCCATGAACACAAGGCATCTAATTAATTAGATCTTCTCTAATTTCAAGTGTTTTGTGGGTTTCAGCATATAGGTCCTACACATATTGTTAGATTTATACTGATGTATTCCTTGGAAAAAATTTTTAATGCTATTGTAAATGGTGTATGTTTTCTTTTACATTCCAATTTGTTCATTCTGGTATACAGGAATATGGTTTTCTTTTGTATATTGACCTTGTTTCCTGCCACTTATTATATTAGTTCAGGAGCTTCTTTATTGATTCTTTGGGATTTTCTAAAGAGATCATAATAGGGCCGGCCAAATGGCTCAGTTGGTTAAGAGCTCGCTCAAGAGTCTGAGCAACAGCAGTTCGAGTCCAGCCCGAGCTGAGCAGCCGCTGAGCTGCCAACAGGTAGCAGGATGGCTCAAAAAAAAAAAAAAAAATCATAATAGCTTCTATGATTACAGTCAGTTTTATTTCTTCCTAATTTGTATGCTTATTTCTTTTTTGTCTCAGTGAAGTAGCTAGGAACCCAGTGCAGCGGTGAATAGAAGTGAGAGAGGATATCCTTACCTTGTAACTGACTTTGGGAAAAAGCATTCATTGTCTCATCATTATATTAGCTATAAGTTTTTAGTAGATGGTCCTTATTATTTTTTCTGTATATCTTAAGTTTTTCTAATCCTCACTTTTTTGTGCCTGTATCAAAAAAACTCGCAGCACAACAACCTACTTTTTTCAGTATCTACCTATATCTATATATTTGCCTACTAACCATCCTGAAATCCCCCAAAAACAGTACATGTGTTTTTATAATGGGCTTTTTGTTCTTAAAATAGATTTATTACTAAATTAAAACTAAGCATATTTCATACCTTTTTATTTCAGTTCTTCATAGTTTGAATGATGGAATCTTCATTTTAATTAAGATTTATATATACAAGTACTGATGTTAAACTATGATTCAAAACAACACCGGTAGTGAATGGAGCATTTTTGAATGTCCAGAAAGCATAGTTTCAACCTTTCTGAAAAGTTCAAGAACAGCCTAGGACTTTGCAGTTGTTTTTGAAGGCTGGAATTGTCCTGCTTCAAATTTTTCTTTGAATTTTAAGTAGTCTCTTCTTTTATCAAAATATTTTATCTGTTGAGAGAAAAGGGTTGAATAAGGCCAAGTTATGCAGCTTAGATAAAAGCATAGAATTAAGTGTAACAAATTATTCAACCTACATTGTGTAAGTGGCATATGTGATTTATATTTTAGAACCATTTTTAATCAGTTCATTTGATGTATAAAAATCCTGAAAGAGGGTGTATGTCAGTGAGTCCTAA